GCCGACTTGGCTCGGGCCTCTTCGCCGGGGGCAGCCGCATTTAGGGACTTTGGAGCTTAGGGTTTTTGGGTTTTGGGGGTACTCTTGGTCTTTCGTAGTGGCGCTATGAGGCTCTCCCTCTTATCGGGTTTAGGGGAAGGCTTCCATGATTTTACGAGAGTCTGATACTAGGGGATTGAGGTTTCAGGCATAGGTGGCACCCACAAACAGCCTTTGAAAAGGGTGGCAGGGCGTGAGGATGTGGGTGGGAGCACATGACGATCATCCCAAACACTTGAAGGTTTCACCGAGTGCCCCTACAAGGTCAAGGTTGCTTATTCTACTACTAAGTTGGGGCTGCCGTTGATTTAATACCACGACCCAGAAAGAGCGACCACTGGAGCTTCTTCAAGCGACATCAGTCTGGCGAATGAATAATGGGTCTCTTTGTAGCAATACGCTGGTGCCACTCTTGTTGCTAACATTATTTCTCCTACTATCCTAGTGTTGGACGAGGCCAGCCCTTAAAGCCTAACTCTTTATGGATGCCCCTACACCCTAAACCCTAAGCCCAAACCCTAAACCCTAATTCCCCATAAAAGGATGGGAATGTGGGAGTTTCCGAAAATAGGGGGTACCTTAGTTTGGGGTCCTTATAATAAGGATCCTACTATTTAGGGTACTATGTTAGGGTCCCCTATTTTCAGAAACTCCCATGTCGGGCGAGAACGGGTTTCGTCGCTTGAGGGGCGGCTGACCGTTCAAGGGTTTCGGGCTTACAGGCTTGCGGCTTAGGGTTTAGGATTTCGGGCTTACAGGCTTGCGGCTTACGGTTTAGGGTTTAGGATTTCGGGCTTACAGGCTTGCGGCTTACGGTTTAGGGTTTAGGATTTCGGGCTTACAGGCTTGCGGCTTACGGTTTAGGGTTTAGGATTTCGGGCTTACAGGCTTGCGGCTTACGGTTTAGGGTTTAGGATTTCGGGCTTACAGGCTTGCGGCTTACGGTTTAGGGTTTAGGATTTCGGGCTTACAGGCTTGCGGCTTACGGTTTAGGGTTTAGGATTTCGGGCTTACAGGCTTACAGGCTGCGGCTTACGGTTTAGGGTTTAGGATTTCGGGCTTACAGGCTTGCGGCTTACGGTTTAGGGTTTAGGATTTCGGGCTTACAGGCTTGCGGCTTACGGTTTAGGGTTTAGGATTTCGGGCTTACAGGCTTGCGGCTTACGGTTTAGGGTTTAGGATTTCGGGCTTACAGGCTTGCGGCTTACGGTTTAGGGTTTAGGATTTCGGGCTTACAGGCTTGCGGCTTACGGTTTAGGGTTTAGGATTTCGGGCTTACAGGCTTGCGGCTTACGGTTTAGGGTTTAGGATTTCGGGCTTACAGGCTTGCGGCTTACGGTTTAGGGTTTAGGATTTCGGGCTTACAGGCTTGCGGCTTACGGTTTAGGGTTTAGGATTTCGGGCTTACAGGCTTGCGGCTTACGGTTTAGGGTTTAGGATTTCGGGCTTACAGGCTTGCGGCTTACGGTTTAGGGTTTAGGATTTCGGGCTTACAGGCTTGCGGCTTACGGTTTAGGGTTTAGGATTTCGGGCTTACAGGCTTGCGGCTTACGGTTTAGGGTTTAGGATTTCGGGCTTACAGGCTTGCGGCTTACGGTTTAGGGTTTAGGATTTCGGGCTTACAGGCTTGCGGCTTACGGTTTAGGGTTTAGGATTTCGGGCTTACAGGCTTGCGGCTTAGGGTTTAGGGTTTAGGATTTCGGGCTTACAGGCTTGCGGCTTACGGTTTAGGGTTTAGGATTTCGGGCTTACAGGCTTGCGGCTTACGGTTTAGGGTTTAGGATTTCGGGCTTACAGGCTTGCGGCTTACGGTTTAGGGTTTAGGATTTCGGGCTTACAGGCTTGCAGGGTTATAGAGACTTCAGGGATTTGGGAGTTCTCGGCTGTGGGAGTTTAGGTTTAGGGCTTTTGGGGATAGAGACTTCACGGGATTCGGGAGTTCTAGGCTCTTGGAGTTTAGGCTTGGTGCTTTTTGAGGGGTGAACTTTAGGGCTAGGATTAAGGGCTACCCCGGCGCCGGTACACGAGCACCTCTAGACTCTCAATCTAAGAGCCGCCGTGTTCCTGGAAGAGTCGGTCAGAAGATCTTACGGGCTGTACGATGCGAAGGATTCACGGCTTAATTCTGCTTCCCCATATGCTCCTCCGAAAGGAGCTTTGCATGGCAGCGGGATTCCAACAGAAGGTGCGGCTCAAGACAGTTTTACTAGGGCCCCAAAAAAGCACATAAGCAAAAATTAGGATAGGGATATCCCATATAAAGCCCCTCATAAAGAAGCCCAAAAAGGTAGGGATATCCCTATCACATGCTTATGCTTATGTGCTTTTTTGGGGTCCCAAATTTACGGCTTTGTGGGCTTTGATCCCCCTCTTCCAGGCACACTCTGCGACCCATGCCCCTGCCAAAACACAGGGACACAGGTGAGTGCAAGGGACCCTATACTCTAAAACCCAACTGACTTTTGGGGTTCCCTTGACTCTTTAGCTCCTTATTAAGTAGGGATTATCATCATCCCCGGCTCCTTAGCTCCTCCAATATCAACGGTTAGCCAAACCAGACAGCTTGAAGGAACTGCAAAACACCTCCACATCCCCAAACCTACACCGTTCCATGCACTCTGCCTGTAGTAATTTCGGAGGCCCGGTTTGCACATGAGGACAAGGGCTCTATGCTGACAACACACATACGTAAGATATGCCCTGATAGAACTCGAAGAGTTCAGGCATCCCTTCATGCAAAATCCTGCACCACAATCCCAAATCCCCAAAACCAGCTCTAAACCCTGAGGCCCCAAATTTTAGGACCCCATGGACCCTAAACCCTAAGCTTTAGACCTGAGGTCAGCTCTCTCACAGCATGGAGCTCTCCTGGGCGCTTCAGGGTTTAGAGGATG